ATTGCTGGATCATTCATTTATGTACAGGACAGTGCTGGTTCTGTATTTAGAGAATATTGGACCAGCAATGCAGCAATGAAGCAATCTGTTTGGTTGATTTTAGTTATTGGCCCTGCTGAACTAACTTAATCATGGTAAATGTTACCAGAGTTATTTACTCAAAGAGTATACTCACATCTACCATTTTGTGTACATGTGGGCGAGCTGAGCCCTAATGGCTGCTAAAGTTAAAAAATGTTTATCATGACATTAATTAAAAGTTTTAATGTTAATGCCTCTTACTGTAAAAGTTTTGTTAGTTAAATCTGCGTGAGCTACATTTTGTAATATAAGAACGTATTATTATCGATGTTAATGCTAAGACTTTTCTCAGGTTGAGAGAAAAGACAATGAATCAGCTCTGTTTCAGCTAGACGAGCAGGTACAGTATGAGTGTTTTTACTTCATTGTGAGATTAAGCCTTTCTCGGGACTCTTAAGGATAAAATCCCCAAAAGGGCAGGGGCTCAGTTGCATGTGGGATTAAGGCTCTGCACTGAGATTCAAGCCCTTGTCCTTTTATCACCCTTTGATGAATCAGCCATTATATTAACTGAAATTTGAACCATTTTGAATAGATCCAACCTGAAATAGGTACCCTTTTGGGCCAAGACTCAATGCATAGTCCATTGTGGGTTATAGTAACCATCCCAAGATCAGAGATAATCAAAGCACTCATTACCATTATTCACTGGTTTGGTTTAATGGTTCATGAGTTACAAGCCTTTCTCCCCTAAGAGATACCAAGATCCTGGTTTGTGGGTGTGGCTTGAGATGTTTTTCACCCCTAAGAGGTACCAATTATAATGCAACACATTGTCTCCTTGTTTTTTCTGGCTCAATACCCTAAAGGGTACTGTGAAAGCTTCTGCAGTGGACCTTTTGAGACTGAACACCCTGAGAGGTACCAAACTGCATTTTCAACCCTTAAAAGTGCGGTGAGCATCCCCATTCTTGTTGTATGAGAGAGCTCCCCCTCCCACTGGGCCTTTCTCGTGTTCTCCTGTCATCCCATGTGGGTTAAACTCCGAGAAAGTGCAGTCTATTAATTAAATGGTACAGCAAAACCAACTAACAGACCAGCAGGTAAATACACTGAGTCTGACATCGTGTTGGCTACACATCATTGACCATGATCTAATGATCAATGCACTGTACGAGAAGCTGGTCAATCTTTGCAAATGGCTTTTACTTTGCATTTGTGCAATGCTTATAAAATAAGGACTTTTTTGTCAGTGGGTTAAATTAAATGCTAAAACAATAGACAGCTCACTCATGGTTTCTTAATTGACTTTGACAGTTGGTTCACGACTTTGATTGCCCACTAAGAAACCTCCAGCTCATTGTCCAATTATTTTAACTTTTCAAATGAATTAAGAAAAATAGTAGCAATTAACAATTTATGTAAAGCATAATGTCCTCTTTTAAAAATTTATGTTTATTTTGTATCAGTGTCGTACATATGATGGTTTGCGGAAGACGCATGATGCACAGATAGTAAAAATTGCTACAGAAGCAGGTCTGCACATCTTCCCAGACCAGTGGTCCTCACTGCTGTATGGTGACCAAGATCACAAGTCTCACATGCAGTCAATTATTGACAAGGTTTGAGAACTAGTAACAATTTTGTTGAGAGAATTGTAAGTGGAGTCATGGCACTGTTTGAAACTCAATTATATCAGAGGAACCAAATCTTTTACAACTATAAATTGCAAACTGGATTTTTTTCTGTTGATTAGTATCAGCAAGTATAATTTGAGTAACTATTACTGTAGATTCTAAAATTAAATTTCCTAGTAAACACAGTCAAAATGTTCAAACTACTAGTAAATTCTGTTTCTTTGGGGTAATTAAGAGCTTTTCTGAGAAGTAAGCAGTTTTCTTGGAGTGAAGCTCAATAAAAACTGTGAGCTTTAAGGAGCAGATATGTCCAAGGACAAATATCTGAGTATATTTTTAAAGTCAAATGGAGGCTATTGCGTTCATTATCCTGCAAATATTAATTTTTTAAAAATTATTGGGGAATATCACATGGTGGGCTCAAGGTTAGTGAGCTTGCTCCGGATCGAGCGGTCCAAGTTCGAGCCCTCTCCTCTCACAGTGCCTCTCTCCACCCAGCTAGGTGTATAAGTGGGTATGGGTGAATTTAATGCTGGGGGTAACCCTGCGATAGACTAGCGTCCCAACCAGGGGGAAGTAGAAATACTCCTTGTCACTTCCTGCTCACAGAAACAGGGANAACTGCTTGAAAACCATACCCTTCACAGCGGCTCATACCTATATAGCCCATATATGGCAGTGCCCCCCCCTCCCCCGGGCCTCCAAAGCATACCAAAAGGCCCCCGCCAAGGCCACCAAAGCATACCAAAATTCAGCCATCGTGTCAAAAAGCCTTGATATCATGGCCAGTTTGGTTGAGCCAAAATAACCATGACAAGATCAAACAAGCCTGAAGCATACCAAAAAGGTATGGTTAGGTATGTTGTACCTAAATCCAGCCATCGTGTCAGGAAGCCTTGCTATTTATTAATCAAATGTACTGTAATTCTATTTTGGCACATCAAAAAAAAAAAAAATCAAAAAAGAAAATTAAAACTAAAATATCTTGTCAATTAGGCCTTCATTTTGCAGGATATCAGGACAGTAGACACGGTTTCTGATTGGCTAGTTGCAAATTTTGATGGTTTACGATAATAAACAGTTAACACACTTGGGCAGATAATCTGATAACTCTTAACTGGTGACTTGTTGATTTTTTAAAGTCCCTGGATTGCATTCCCAGCAGTTCTATCTCAGTGTTATTTCTAAATAACCATGGTTAATCCATTGCATTTCATTCTGTTTTAGCTACAATCACCAGCCTCGTTTTCTGACAGCATTGAGCAGCTCATCATTTCTCTTCAGAGATCTGGGGATCCTGCCAATCTTTGCCAGATGCAAAAGCAGTTTGAATTGCTGTCCCAGATTGATGCCTCTACAGGTTTGACCCTCAACCTTTCCTCTTGCAATTAACAGTGACTAGAGCTAAGTTAAACGATCTTGAAAATATATTTATTGGCAATATTATCTAACGTCCCTGGGAAGGATACTCCCACATAAAAGAGAATAGGGGGGGGGGGGGTCCACCCTACCTGATAAGGGTTAAAAAAAGAGGTTTTGGTAGCTCTTAGGGTATTCAGCCTCAAAAGGTCCAAAGCTGGAGCTTTCACAGTACCATTTAGGGTTAGGGGGGAAAAGAATTTCAAGCCACACCCAAAAGAACAGGATATCGGTACCTCTTAGGGATTCTTCTTCAAATTTTGTATGAGCACCCCGGTCCTTTTTATATGGGATCCCCTCCCCCTCCAGACCAACATCGTTTTTCTTGCAAAGGTATATCAAATAGGGTTAAATCATAGTGAATCATATTTATACCGTTAAAGTCAAGTGCACATATTTAGCATTTTTAAGAGAAAACTAATGTACTGGACAATTCTCTGCTAACTAGAATTAATTCTATAAAATAATTTTAAAATTTGGGTGCTGTTAGCCTCCTCCAGGCAACTGAACACCTGGAATAGACTATGGTGCTGTCAAAATACAACCACTGCTTGTGAGGTAGTGCACTTATTTAGCAATGAGTCAAAATTGGCCCATTTTGTGCCTGTTGAAATTTTAGAATATTGGAACTGAAATATACAGTAGATTCTGAAATATAATTTCTGTTGAAGTACACATAAAATCACTCTGAAGTTAAGGAGAAAACATTTTCTAGGGAGTTATCTGAAAAATTGCCTCCAGATATCCAGAGTGTCACCCACTTAAGCCAGATCAACAACATCTTCAAAAGCTGGCTACACTTCTGATAATGTACCTTTGTTTGGTTGTCTTCTGCAGAAGCAGCATGTCCAGAGTGGAATGAGTTAGAACAAGCTATGAGTTCAGTGTATTCTGTGGTTCAAGGACTTGTTGATTTTTTAAAGGTTGGTTACTGTTATCAAATGTTTTGACTGTTTGCTTCTGTTTAATATTATGAGCTCAAGATTTCCATGGGGTGATAGTTGACGAGGCTAAGGGCTGAATCAACGGTCACCTCACGGAAATGGATAACAAATAGTCTAATATTATTGTTTTGATAGAATTCTAACTAAAATTCCTTCAAATAGTGATTTCCAGTTATTATTAGTATTATTATTCATTTTATATAATAATTAAATGAATGCGCGCGCTCTGATTGGTCAATCAGCTATGGTTCATTGTGCCAGTAAACTCATGGAAATTTCGCGTGTCTTCTGAATTATTATTAATAATAAAAGGAATAGACCACAAGTTTTTATGGTTTACAGACTGATAAACCACTTAAGATGGTGGAAGAACACGAGAAGAATTCGTAAATCACTCGCCTGCGGCTCGTGATTTACGAATTCTTCTCGTGTTTTTCCAACATCGCGCGTGGTTTATCAGCCTATTGCTTAAATATCTCGCAGTTACTACGCGCGCTGTGACCGGTCAATTTAGGGGGCCGTATTCTACTCTACGGCCCGCTAATAATTTAAAGCTGTTTCTGTTGCCAAAATGTACTGTGATTTACCGCCAAGTGCTCTTTAATAACATTTACAGCAGGTAAAATTTTAAAACTTTCGTTTACTTTAAATTGTGCTTTAAAACGTGCTAACGACTTAACAACGATTTTAAATTGGCTCGTTTTGATTTCGACGTGCGTGAGAAATTTGAAGCCGTTCCTTGCGAATAGAAATCATTCCAGAACCCGTCTGACACACCGTAGAGATACAGTCAATATCTTAGTAACCTCTTGTTCTCGGTCCGTACAGACTGTAACTTACTGATCCTCATTTTTCCTGTTTGATTTATGGTCTGCGCGCTTCGCGCTTAGTTAACTTATAATCCTGGCATAGCGCTTCGGTTAACTTTAAATCCTAGTTTAGCGTTGACCGGCTTTCGAACAACCAGGTCCAGGTCTGTTAGGTGTGACTTTTATTGTACCTTGACAGAATTTATGTGTCCAGTGTCTTACAGGTACATTTTTTCCTCTTCAGTCTCCCAACAACAGCAGATATAAATCCAGGATGTGTCGGAATCACGCCCGAGGAGGATGTCCCAAGGGACTTCATTGCCCATTTGCACATTCAGAGGAGGAGCTGAAATAATAGGTGTCCTCGCATTACTTTCCATAGTAGAATCTTGTTTCGAGTGGCCGCGCTCTTTTGATTGGCAATCCGGGGGAAATCAGTACATGAGCCAGCATTAGTCACCGCAGCTACTGTTATTGCGTATGTTCAGAAACCATTATTGAATTGAACGCAGACATACTCAAACCGGTTTTAGGATTTCCTAGTCCAGGTTTTTGATTGGGCGTTCGGTAAATAAACGCTGACCGACAACGCGCGGGCTCTGGCAAGGGAATTAGACTCTGGATAGTCCACTGGGCTACGATCCTCAGTTAAAAAAGCGTCTTCATCGATATTTGAGTTCTATTCCAAACGTTTGCCGAGAAGCGAGCATATTTAAGAACCAACAGAGATCTTAAGCGATTATTTTACAGTCTTCTGGGCTCAATATTAAGTAGTTTGTTATGGATTATATGAAAATGAAATTGAANATGGTGAAATGGTACTCCTGCAGAGGCCATACAGTGTTAGGATGTGCAAGATCGGCTCAGAAGATAAGTCAGTTGAACAACGAGTACTGTAAAGGAAACAAACCCAAGCAGTTGTTGATGTTGTTGATGTTGTGAACGAGGCGGATGTGAAACGTTGGTCAGAAGAAATTATTCCTAACTTTGGAGCGCCGACTTTTCTCCTGAACAATGCTTCTGTCATCAATAATAATGCGTATCTCTGGCAAATTTCTGCAGAGGAGTTTAACAATGTTATTGATATCAACATCAAAGGTGTCACAACTGTGATTCGCCATTTTGTCCCCGAGATGATCAAAGCAGGGAAAGGCGTGGTTATCAATTTTTCTTCTGGTTGGGGAAGAACTGCCGCGGTAAATGAAGCTCCTTATTGTGCCTCTAAGTGGGCCATCGAGGGCCTTTCCAAAGCAATGGCCCTAGAGCTACCTGACCCATTGACCTGTGTTCCATTAAATCCTGGACTTATCAACACGGCCATGTTACAGATCTGCGATGGCAAAGAAGTTGCATCGCTGGAGAGATCACCAGAAGAATGGGCCGAGAATGCTTGTCCATTTATTCTTTCCATAGACCGTTCTCAGAATGGAAGTAGCCTCGCAGCTCCGTAGTTACACTGACCACAAAGCAGCCTGTCCGTATACGAGTTCTTGTGACATACTATATTACTGAAATATCTCAGTGATTGATTATTACTCTCTGTCGTGAAACGTAAACTAGCTTAAACTAATAACTATGCCTACCAGCATGGGTACCTACCTCGATAAAACACATTTCCTTCCCTCAAAGATGGTGAGTAATATCGGAGTACTGTAACGAACTTAAGGCGGGAGAAACTCATACCCTAACAGGAGTCGATTACACATAGTGTACGAGATGTTACCCTGGGGGGGGGGGGGGGGAGCACTCCCATATATAAAGGACGAGGGTGCTCATTGAATCTTTCAGGTGCTAAAAAAGCGCTTTTGGTAGCTCTTTGGGCGTTCAGCTTCAAAAGGTCCACAGCAGGAGCTTTTACAGTACCTTTTAGACCTTTTAAGAGTATTCAATCGAAAAAAATGACAGGAGATATTTAACAACCAACTTAACGAGTAGAATGTATTAAAAGCAATCATGTCTATGAAAATGGTTAGAGTAGTTGCCTCTTTGGGGTGAAAAAAATTTCAAGCCACGTCCACAAAACAGGATATCGGTACCTCTTGGTGGTTCTGTTTTGAAATTTCCCACGAGAACCCTCGTTCTTTTTATATGGGAGTCCCTTGCCCGGGGATGTGATGTTACTTCCTACCGGCCTATCCCTAACCTCCACACCCTAAAAAAACGTCTGCTTGGGAGGGTAGGGAGGCTAGCCTATGCCCACCCCACAAAAATAAAATGCTCAAGCTGAGTGCCTGTGTAGGTCACGCGATCGCTTTCTTAGGAATTCATCATGGCGGACGTATCCTCCGGGTTTAACCCTGTCGTTGTTAACAGTGTTACATACATTGGGACTCTTGCAGTGTTCCTTGTAGCTATGAAGGTCCCTAAGATATTCATAGACCATTTTCCTGCTACAGGCTGTCTCCTCGTATCGAATGATGCCAAGTTTGCAAAAAATCAAGATTTGGAATATCTTTTCGTCGGACTCTGGTCGTTGCATTTTCTCCGGCGAACGATAGAAGTCCTTTGGGTCCATGATTACCGAAGGAAAATGTCTTGTGTAGAAAGCATAGGAGCGCCTATTTATTATTGGTTCTTTGCGTTCTGGAACGGAGTTGCGCTGCGACACGACAATGGATACAAACAAACATTTCTTGCTCTCACTGTGGCTGGCTCAGTCATTTTCCTGATCGGTGAGGTTGGAAATTGCCTCTGCCATCTCAAACTACGTGCATTTCGGAAGGAAAAACGAGCAGGCTTGCTGTCCCCGAACTCAAAGCACGTTCTACCGCATGGATTCCTCTTCGACTGCATCTCTTGCCCGCATTATTCGTGCGAAATTTTATCATGGCTGGGTTTTTTCTTGGCATCTTGGACTCTCCCGGCAGCCCTGTTTCTACTTGCAACAATGATCACTCTTGTTGTTTACGCACATAAGAAACACAAGGCATATCGACAGGAGTTTGATGGACTGGCCGGGAGGGAATTGTATCCTAGCAATCGAAAAGTCCTAATTCCTTTTGTGTTTTGAGAACAAGTCAGTACACTGTGTAAACCATGCATCTTTACGTTCTCACGTATCGATCAAAGAGACATGAAGTTACCCCCCCCCCCTGCTCTACCCACCAGGTGTGTACATTTATGAGTGTACCCGGGGGAAGAAGATTTCCAAATTACAAATCGTTTCTTTTTCCAATGCAAATACTAACCTTCAGGGCTGCTGATTAGAATGAAATGTTTCAGTAATGTAGGAGTAAAGAGGACATTTTTTTTCGCTCGTTATTACAGTCATATTATATATTTTTTTTGTTTTACTTTTCATATCACTTGTAGTTATAGTTTTGAAATGTTATAAACAAAATTGGCAGTAATATCTGCATATGATCCGTGATATCGTAAAATTTCAACGTAACTTCTTGGATCATTTCCAGTAATGTCAAATATAGTAAATAGCATGTTATATTTTTGATGCCCTCATTAAAAATCAGTTACTACTTTTCACTCAGGACTTTTGCAGGAGGCAAAACAATGAATGAAATGATAACGAAAAAAAAAACATAAAAAAAAAATAATAATTAAAAAAAGAAAGGCACCGAGGGGATTTGAACCCATGACCTCCTGTTTACTAGACAGGCGCTCTAACCAACTGAGCTACGGCGCCCTCCATGGAAATCGCGATGAAATTGTAATTAATAAACCAAGCGCAACCTTCAATTACTGATGATGTTCCTTTCTCCGCATAAAAATTGTAATTATCCAACATTTGAACGTTGTATGGGTAGGATTTATCGATATGTGGATATAAAACAGCCAATAAATGGTGGAGGAAGCTTGATTTACTTGTTCTCTTTTGTCGCGCACGCGATGGGATCTCAGGGGAGGCCCCAGAGTCCTCAGCAACCAATCACAGTGTGCGAAATGAGGCGTGAATTGACAGCGCGGTGACTTTAATCGCCAACGGTACTCAATGTTCGGTTTACAAGCCGTTTCTTCCATCCTTTCGTTAATTTTTAGGTAGTATAGAGCACCATTTTGCTCTGAGGTCCTGTTTTGCTTTTCCTAGTTCCATTTCAGTTATTTTCTTCCGTCTTCTGTGGCAAAGCCATCTAATTTCATCTATACCTCGGAAAAATGAAGCTTCGAACACGGATTCCATCGCGAGCGCGGACATGTTCACTGCTAGCGCTGCCTGAGGAGGTTGTGCTCCTTATTTTAAAATGTCTCACGGCAAACGAACTAATGGACTTGAGAGTGGTAGGTAGACGACATATGCCTTCATTCTTTTGAAGCGCAAGGTCTTAGCTTGTTTTCTTCAAAATATTCAAGATTGCCATGCGCGACCGTTGGAAAAGACCAGTTGACATGGACGCGCAGGATAGACTGCGACCGTTGATGGTTCGTTTCGTTGCTAATTTCTTCTTGTATTTTCTGCGTTTGCAGGTTTGTTCAGGGTTAAAGCAACTGATTGACGATTCATCTAGTCTATGGCTGTCAGCATCTTTTCTAGGAGTTTGGCCATCGCACAAAACTCTGCCTCTTCTTCAGAGGTTTGTTGTAGTTGATTGTTACATGTAACGGAATTCAGTAGATTTGCGCGTCATTCGAATTTCCCTCCATTTCCATCGAACTTCACTGCACCAGAACAGCTTACACAACTCGCCCGTGAATTTTGCCTAATGCGTTATAAATTTGTGTATCTTACTATCTTTTTTCTTATCTTATTGCCATTCAGGGCAGCTAATCTAGGAAATCCTGAGGCTCTTATAAAGCTTGGACTTGCTCATTTGTATAACGAAGGAAGTAAGTGGTTGACCAGCGTTATCAACAATAAATGTATCGTGTGTGAAAACTCCGATAAGTTTTTCCCTTACCTTGCAGTATTTTACCGTTGACTTGTAAAGAATCGTGGAAAATATTTTTTTTCTAAAAGCAAAACATTGAAAATTAAATAGTGGCCTTTTGAATGACCTTAAAACAAACTTGTCATCAATAAACATTAGTCACAGTGCAGAGGTTGAAGGATGTTTGTTGTGTTTACGCAAACTGAACTCGTCTGTAAATCTGTTGTCTCTGATTTTTCAAGTAACTGTTCGAGTGAGCAAATAAAATTTGCATTTTGATCATCGTTATGAAGAAACTATTTTCATTCTTATCTTCATTGTTTAAAAAAGGAAAGGAAAACATTTTCTGTTCCTATGAAGTTGTAGAAACCCCTATAAAAATTTAGAACACAACAAAAAAATTTGGTCGCCTCAGTTCTGATAGCATTTCTCACTCTCCCAAACTTCCACTTGTGTTTCCATAACTCAATAGATCAAATGTTGAAAATGATTTCCATTTCTGAACGTGGAATAAATGATAACACCTGCCTTAGACAGTCAGTGGAAATCTAATTTATTTTTTGTTGCCCATCATTTTAAGTTTCAGAAAATGGGGAGAAGGGCGTCAATGCAAAAGAAAATGGTCGTCTTGCTGCAGAATTCTTCTTTAAAGCTGAATGCACTATTCAAAATGGTGCACCATTCACTTGGTTTTTTGTACGCCCTCCTTGGGCTCCATCTGGTGTGTGCTGTAAATCCTGTGTCTTTAATAGTATGGTGGAACTTTGTTCAGATTCAGAGGTAAGTAACTGCAGTGTTTTTGCATAAGAAGAAAAAAGTCTCTTTTGCAGACATTATTTTTATTATCACAGGGTTGTCAGAAGTTGCTTGCTGCCAGCAAAAATCATTATATATTTCATGATCTCATCCAGTCACTTTGCTGAGCTATTTGATGGCTGACCTCTGTTTAAAATGAGCTTCAAAAGTAAAAATTGTTCCATTTAGTTTAATCCCTTTACCGTCCAATTTCCAGCCTCCCAAAGTTTCTTTTAACCTGGTTATTATTAGCATAACTGTTTCTCTAATTTAAAAAACATGTCAAGCAAGATGATCAGTCTGCGTAATTAATGTAATAAATCATTTATTTTTCACCAGGTTAATAAGTCAATGTTGTACTGTGTGGGGAAAATCCTTAGTTTACATGAGGTATGTTTAAAATAGTAACAGCAATGTCAGAATGATCAAGCACTGTATCATGATAACAGTCACACGATGACAGTAAGCCTTGGTCAAACATAAAAAAGTCCTCCATTGCTTTACTTTCGTCAAACATGGAAATGTCATATTTAAATATGTATACCAAAAACTATTTACATTTGATGGCATTTCTGTAAAAGCCAGCCACTGTCTTCAAGCATTGAAGGCTTCTAGAAAGTTTGCCTGTAGCCTGCAAGTAGGTGCAAGCAGGCTCTCAGTGACTGTGGCAACTGAAAGACCTGAAAGAAGGAGAGGAAAGGGGAGGAAGAGCCTGCCTGCACCACTTTGAATTCTGAATCAGTGCATCCAAATTTTGGATACAAAGTACTGATTGGCTGAGATTTATACATTGACATGGTGATGTTATCCAACTGTGATCAGCTCCTGTTTAGAAAAACAAAATGGTGCCCTGCAGAGATGAGGTGTTAAGAGCGGCTTATGCCAATTTTTCAGAATAATTTATATTAAATTTCCATTGAAGGTAGAGCAATGTAATGCAGTGTCTTCCCTGCTAGAAAGAAACAATGTTCTTGCTATCTTGTACAGGACTTGAGATAAGTCTAGATAATTTTGCAACTCTTTGTTATTGTGGATGAAATGAAGCGCCGCGTTAGTTGTCTGACCTTTACAGAGCAGTTGTCATTTATGGCATTAATAAATGTCTTTCTTTACCTGTACACAAAACCCATCCAAACCCTGAATTTTCTGGCCTAGATTTTCTTTCTTTACATATTTTCTCTTGCATTAGCCATCGCAAGCCCTATCCTATCTTCTAGCATGGCACAGATCACATTGACAATGTCTACATCCATATCGCTCAGCGTCGCGCCAGCAGAGTTTCTTGGGTACATCATTCAGAATTCTAAGCGACACAGGCAGGCTCCTCTTTCCTTTCTCCTTTCATACTTTCTTTCACCACAAAGAGCAGGCTGGCAGGCTAGTTTGCCCATTTACTGTAGTGCCCACTTGCATGAGGCAAATATGAATATTGCTCTTCCCCCTGGATAGGAAGGCACATGACAGGGTGTACCCCATTGCAGACTACCCTAGCATTCTTGTCAGGATTTCCTACATGTTGTAGCTATAAGTTTGCCAGCACTGACTTGTACTGATAAAAAAATAATAATAAGTACAGCTGATATTTAGCCTCCTAAGCAAATGTTCTCATTGCTCATCATGCACAAGCTAAAAGAATGGGCTATTGAGACTTGAGATTTTGACTGACTGACAAAATCCTTTATTTCGGTATCAGGATGAGAAGAAAAAGGAAGAAAGCCTGCATTGGCTAACAAACGCTGCAGGCCAAGGATCTTGCCAAGCAGCCTTTGATCTCTGGAAGATGCGATTTTGTGAGGGTCCAATAGAACCTTACTCACGACTGGAGAGACTCAGGGAACTGCGGGACTGTGCAACAGCTGGCCATCAAGATGCTCAACTGACTCTCGCTCTTGAATACGCCAAAGGAAACCTGGGAGGGGTCAATAAAACACAAGTAGCAGAGTTTATCTCACAGGTACATGTATAAGCAGTAAGCAGTCTAATGAAATTTATTAACAATTGTACAGATAAAAGATCACAACTTTCATACCACGTTACTGTTTTGCGTTCTGGACTACTCTAGTTCTACATCGAGCCTCAAATGTGCTTGCACGTTCATCTCTGTTTACTCGGCTGCCATGTTTTCTGTTCTGTCTCTGACTTAGACCCCTTCTCGGACAGAATTGTTCACGTTTGGATTTTACGTATTTCTCCGCTTTCATTGCTGTAACAATGAAATTTAATTTTCTCTTTGCTTATGTATGTCTTATTGTCTTCTCTTTTTTCGTTACAGTTTGTGTCAAGATCAAAACCACTCAACAATCACAAGCTCTTTAGTTTTCAAACAGAACTCAACAGCACCATGAGGTAATCTTCATCTTAAAAATTTGTGCCTGATATATTAAAGTTGGTGTAAAATGAGCTACAAGTGGACGTGAGGAAAAAAACGTAAATCTTGGAACTGACATTGCATGTAACTGGAAGCAACAATTAAAAAGAATTTACAACACGTAAAATCCATTTCAAAACGATTGGGCCAAAAAGCAATGTACATGTACAAAGAGTGTCCTCTGGCCAGTGAAGCAGGACTCGCACCCCTTTATGACTGAATGAGCTATATTTATACATGTAATTACATTATCTGATGGCAAAATGTGGCATAAGGTATAAAAGATTTGGCTGACTCGCAGCAAAAGAGTGTTCAAGAAATGAGATATTGCCCGCTCCAATCGGAGTACTGTAGGTTCATAATAGGTTCATAATAATTGCATGAGTCAGCAGGCATTAGGCAGTAACAAAGAGCCATTTCCACTGTTTGTAAAAGTCCCAGAGAAAATTCAGTTTGAACTAAGCAGCAAATACTATAGGAAGTCTGAGGGAGCTGGAGACCAAATTTTATTCATTCACAATATTTGTCAACTTTTTCATATACGCAGGTATATCTTGGTTGACTGGCTTGTAGAAGTTGCTATTATGAAGGTAAATGTCTCCCATTGCTTCTTTTATTTGACTTTTATTTTAGTTTCTTTTTTTTCTTCATCCTAATCATTCTTCTTTGTTTATTCCAGGATTTTCCAAGCCAGATTGTTCATATTGCTGTGAACTGCGTTGACCAGTATTTAATGAGACGTAAAGTCCAGCGATCTGAACTGCAGCTCCTTGGAATCACATGCATGTTAATAGCTGCAAGGTTAGAGATCTGCAATGCTCTCTTTGAGCAAAACATTATTTTATAAAATCCAACCACTTTGCAAAATATTTTATCCCCACAGGTTTCAAGGCAAAGACATTGTCACAATAAGAGAGGCTGCTTGGTTAACTGATGGCACATATAAATATGAGGAAGTAGTTAGGTATGTCCAATTAAATGATGTGCAACCATAAGGGGGGGACAGTAAGGTAAAAATATCTAGCCTCCCATACCTCGCTCACCTGCTTCCTGTACCTTTATCTCCCAAACCCCACCCTTTTCCATCCTGCTCCCTTCCCCTATTAATTAGGAGAATCAAAACACATCCTTGTCTTTTAGCTGCCCAATTCTTAGGCATTTTCTTTGTTTTTAAATAACTTGCGTTCAGTCCTGTATCCCCCCTGCCCCCTATTCTCCCAGGTTCCTCCCCCCTGTCCCACCCCCACCCCACCCCCTTCCTTACGGTAAATAAGTTAGCTTTTTTTAATGTTATTTTGTTTCCTCATTTCTTGGTCCACAGAATGATGGGTGAAGTGATGTCCTGTATCAAGGGTCAAGTCCGAGTAAGTCCCATTTTCATTTTAGGTTGTTCTCCTCTTGGTGCCTGTTTGACATTTTTGCACCATGGATCCCAAAATGACTATCATTCTATATATTAAGTTACATAGTACATTTTCATTTGCAGGTCCTTACCATACCAGATTTTCTAAAGCTTTTTTGCTCCCTTGCAGCAGTAAGTATTAATTCTAATATTTTTTTGTAAAGAACAAGTTCAATTCTAATCAGTAAATATTTCATCATAAAATAGCAGTTACCAGAACTTATCTTTGTTTCTCACTTCAGACTGTTAGTTATGTAATCTAATGTAATCATTTGTTGAATGTTCTATTTCAGGTCAGTCAAAAGACTGATTGTATTGCAGGATATGTAGCAGATTTATCCATCTTACACACTGAATGTGGAAGGTAAGGTTGTTGTTTTGTATCTTTGTTGATTTGATGGATATCTAAGAAGCAGGCCACTCCTGAAGTTGTGAATATTAGAAAGTGTATGTAGCAAGTTGTTGATAAAGAACCTGAATGATTGTAATCCTCTTGCTGAAGGTGTAAAGATTGATCTCAATTCCTCCCATCCCACCCACTTTAACCAGGCTGGCTGAGGCACTGTTATTTTTTCAAGTAGTTAGTAAATGGTTGTTTACTTACGTTCTCTTTTAGGTATTCTCCGGCTTTGATGGCTGCATCCTCTGTTCTTTTAGCAAACTCAGTTCAAGAAATGGGTAAGCTGATAAATGTGTCATACATGTACAATGTAACTGGTTTAATATGGTTGGTTTGGCATGTAAAAAACAGGGGCAATCCCTCAAAAACAGTGGATCCGAAAATTTCAGAATGACAAACTCACTCTAGCATTTGTGTTTCCTACTGTCTTATGCCGAACCATACCTTTTTGGCACACTTTGGCAGCATATCAGATGAGTTTGGTTGAACCACAGTTTGTGTTTTGGTGAGAGGTATTGCAGGATATCAGGACAGTGGACACAGCCTCTGATTGGCTAATTGTGAATTTGGGTATGGTACAGAGGCCAGCCATGCTACACGTATGTCAACTTATTGAAGTTGTCACATTTTAAGCTGTTTCACCTTTTTCTCTTGACAGAGACGCCATGGCCACTGCACATGCATGAGATAACTGGCTTTAGTCTTGCAGATCTTTTAGACTGTACTCTTCATTTACATCAACAATGGTAGCTATATTTACATTTTTGTAACAACTTAAAGAAAGTTACCAAGTCCCTCTTAAATGACTTCCTGATGTATTGCGACAATAAAACTTGATGCACTTTATATTGTTTTACAGTCTTCTTGATGAAAACCCTGTAGACCACAGAAATGTGAAATTAAAAGCTATTAAAGAAAGGTTTGTTTTACTCCTTGTTGTTGCTGTATTTCGATAATTACTGAATCAAACCATGATTTTTCGTATTGTTTTATAATGTGTTAGTTAAAACTATATAGCAGTGCCTGTAACATTCCATGGCCCTGTTATTCAAAGGATGGATAATGCTTTTTACTGATAAATCGTTATCCTGTGTTTGGCCAACGCTTGTCCACAGGATAGCAATTTATCCAGTGGATATCATTATTCACTACCACCCTTCAAATAACAGGCGTTTTATCATGAGACATATGGTTTATAATTCATTGTTGTCTTTGCTGCTCCAGTTTGGTTTTTGTTGCCTTGAATGAAAAATATTTCTATTTCTTTACTGTTTTGGTTAGGTACTCTGATGAGCGTTTCTTGAAAGTCAGCCAAATAATGGTAAGAATTTGAATTTGTTATAATAATTATAAGATTTACATTTCTACAAGATGCGTTTTGAATACACAAATTATGAAACTTATTACATCTTACATAACAATAAGCCACGTCTTTTCTTGTCCCTTTCTGCGATTTCTCTTCAATTTGTACATGATTTGTGATTGTCCTCCCATTGTTTGTGTGAAGATTTTCCTAAATCATGTGAAAGGAGTTGGGAAGGTCGTTGTCTCGCTTAGAGGTGTAAATTGCAGAGTTTGGTCTCACCTACTTTGTTGCCAGCTTAGATAGATCTGGCATGAAATCTTTAATATTGTTCCATAGCCGAAAGTACTTGACGAACTGTCTTTGTCATCACTAACGTCTCTGTAGCTTTTATATGAGTGTCCGTTTTAGAGTGGTGTCTTCTTGAGTAAATTAAGAGACAGGTTAAGAGACAGGTTTTTAATTTTTTAACTCAAGTGTTTTATAAATTTCATATTTTTAGTTCTATGAATTAGTATTAATCTTTGAGGTCCTTTTCGAAAACCACATGTACGTGAAAAAGTTTCCTGAACAAAGATTATTATTATATTATTAAATAAGCCTGAGCCACGCCCAAATTGGTTTCCTTCAGTTGCTCAATTCAAATTCACTGCCAAGTTGGTCCTTGTCATTGCTTTTTACAGCGTGACTAGCTGTAGACACGTTACGACCATAGGCACCTTTTTAAAGCCTTCTTTGCTTTTGCTCCTCAGGTACCTGGCCGTGAAGAATTACGTCAATATCTCCTTCCCAAGGTCTTGCAGTGTGATTCGATCGGTGATATGCGATCCCTACGTGGTCAGCCAGCGGCAAGGCATTCTAGTCATGCGCATCACCTCACTGCTGACGACAGCATTTTGAATACTAGTATCGGCAGTTTGTCCGAGAGTGGTTATGAAGGAGACATGGAGGATGAAGGCGACTTGAATGTTGATGAGGAACTCTGTAGCGAACTAGCTGATGACCAGCATGGCGTGTTAAACAAGCAATCTAGAGACTCTTCCTTCCTGAACTGGGAGGAATTTTCAAGGACGAGTTCCACACCGAGCATTCTCCACCCAGCTGGTACTCACAGCGGGTTTGATTTAGAAGTGCAAGACATGGACACGGATTCGGAACCCGTGCCAATGGACAATGGCATTCACAGCGCCAGCGAGCTTTGTGTGCCAGTTGTTATGGAAGCTGATGATAATATGGAGTTAGGAGAGGGCTGTGCTAAGCCATTAGATTCAAGCTTGCGTAGTAGGCAACCTCTAAGACCTATTGAAAACAATAACAATCTCTCCTTCAGAGACCCCATTTCTTTGAAGTCTCAGCGGAGGATTTCAGCGTGGAGTAGAACAGTCACCCATTGAACTTTCAGAAGTCTCAGCTAGCTCTCTTTTTCCTTGTAACAAAGTTGTTCTTTCATGGCAGAACTTAGCAAACTTTACAGTTGTTTCTTGTCTTAGGCTTAGTTTCAAGCGTTGCAAAATGTTCTAGACACCAGAATAAGAACGCATTTAGGAACCTTAATATATCGATTATCTGTGTTTTATCGTGACGCTTTTCAGCTTAATGTCATTGATTCTAAAATGATACTTTTGTGAATAATTCGCGACAATGAAAGATATTCTGTATATATTCAACCGGAAAGCATACTATACATACATAGGTATATTTTACGTCTTATTTTTTCTTGGCTTTGTAATCTGGTAAAACCACCATCTTTGATTAGAAAGCTGAGAAGAATTATGGCGAGGTTAAATGTGCCATTGCCCATATTTATACAGAGCAAAAATGAAGAAAGTTTGCGTGGTATATTCTTAAATACAAATTGTTGTTTAGTGAAAAAGCCTTCTTTGGAAGTTGGAAGGCGAACATATAACCATATGCTTTAAATTGAACGCATTCGAAGCGTTGAAGCTAAAATAAAATTCCTGGAAGTTATTTGAAAGACTGATTTTCTGGTTTCTTAGCGCTACATAGTGTAAACGGTAGCGTCGCCCAGAGTTGTTTCGCTATTCTCGTATGGTTGAAAGTTTAATAAATGTTTTACAAGAGATTGTAAGTAAGCCTACCGTACTGGAGAGTAAAACATTGACTATCTCTAGTTCTTCAAGCTTGAGTAAAGAGTGATTGTTTTTCCATCTGACCTACTAACGCTAGCAAACAACTCGTAGGGGAAAGGACCATAATCCCTAAATAGATCCGTGTAGTGTTTCCAAGTACCTATTCATGCGGTAAAAAGGTCTCTCGGGCTGGGGAACCACTCAACACACCAAGCCACTCCGGACGTGATTTTCAATTATAAGAAGCACCAAAATGAATGATTTAAAGAGAAATCACAAAGTTAGCTTGGGAGCCAGGATAACCCGCAAAGTGGGCTTGTGAGCCAACCTCGTGGAGCCACCAGGGTGACCCTAAGTGGAGGGTCGTGGAGCCACCAGGGTGACCCTGAGTGGAGGGAGGGCTACTGGCCTTGAAGTTAGGGTGACACATTTCGACAATTTTCATATTTTAGTGACGCCTACATTGGAAACGAGATATCTAAAGGGCAAGCAAGAGCCTAGAACGTTTCCCTATGCTTGTAATTTACGGTCAAAGATGGCCCGGGATGAGAAGGAGGGTTATAACCTCGTTCATCTTGTTTCTTTTTACCAGTTACCTGAGCCATTTGTGATCACCATGGGCTGGCTTTCACGAGCGCATAATCATACGCAGAGGTAGTAAGATATTGATAATTAGTGCCTTTTGTGTTAGAAATTTCTAAACCAAGGGAACTTATTGCACCTTAACAGCAGCTTACTGCGTCTGCAAATGTTGCTTATGCTCGTGCGCTACCAAAAACCAGCTTCAGTTAAGTTTCAAGCAGTTATAGTCCATTGTCTTAAGCAATTACAGTCCCTCACGAGGGATTATGGAGGAATAATGAATTCCCTTGGGTTCCAAATTTGGGACTCGCCAACACCCGAAGATCTTATGATAGCCCTCTGACTAGCTTTGCCATTGTCAGAGGTGTAATGAGAAGCGAGCGCACGGTGGTAGCATATGAAGCATTTAAATGAAATGCACAATAATTGGCAGATCGAAATAGTCACGCTCATTACTGTATATAAGTCAAACTGTGCATTTCTTAGTTCAAACCTGACAGAACAACCACAGAATGAACGCTCAAGAAAACGCATCGAAGAAATGTCGATGGCTTCGTTTCAAGATTCCCTGCTGCTGCAACTTTGCACTCAACATTCGGCTCAACCCAGTTGTATCTCTTCTTTCCGCCCTCATCATCTGGGGGTTTGTCGTGTGGAGTATCTTGAAAGCTAAAGCGGCAAACGAAGAGATGGCCAAGTGGAGAGGATGGATCACTTTAAAATTCACTTGGCTATACATCGGCACTCAGGACGTGTGGGCCCTGTTCATTATTGTGCTGTATTTGTCCAAGTATTCCAAGTTGAAGCTGGGCAAACCGCACGAAAAACCCGAATTTAACGACGCTACATATTTCACCATGCTGTTTGCTGCTGGCATCGGGATTGGCCTGTTCTATTTTGGAGTAGGTGAGTGATCTTTTTTGTAAAGTTGTTGGTTTCGAAGGATCATACCATTAACATTTATTTGTGCTCAGAAATGCACATGTAGAAAACCTTGCGGAATGAGAGTTGTGCATCAGATGCAGGTCAACTCATTCGTTCCATCCGGCTTCGCTAAATTGCTGAGTAAGTTATCGTGTTATCAAAAGCGTTCGTTAAAACTTTTGATAAAGTTTGGTTCTTCCTTTTCTTTTTAAGCGGAACCCATCTGGCATTACGAACCTGGACATTATGGGAATCGTTACTTTGGAAGGTATGTGCACTGTCGGTATTACTGTTTCATTATGCTTCAGTATTCATTGATTTGAATTTTTTACTTGGTTTTTCATCAAATACGTTCAATAAGTGGTTAGACTGTCAGTTGCTAGTAAATGAAATATTTAGTGATCAACGGACTTGCCAGGCATTAATCCTCAAATGTATGATGCTATAACCAAACAAACCTTATCGCTCTCACTGGCACTTTAAATTTCCGAGTTACCTTTCATCATTTGTTTGGAAATATATTTCTGGTGCAAAGTTTTCATCTAATGCCTTTGGTGACTTACACCTGTTCGTTCAATTTTTCAACAAGCCCCATTTTTAAAACAAAAGCTAAGAGGGCAACTTCGTCTAGAAAGTCTTTTTGTCTATCAAAGAATTCGACAATCTTCTACATTACTTTGTGCCCAGATTTTCTCCAAATCGAATGAATATGGACAGCTGGCCGATGAAAAACTGAAAAATTCGAGAAAAATAGTGTTCACAGATTAATATACAAAACACTGACAACATCTGAAACCTTAGCTTGAACTGAGCTTCACAGACATATTAAGTTTTCCCGCTGTACTAACTTCCACTTTTCGAATAACAGGTATTCCGACAACCAACGAGCCCAAGATGCCATGAACATCACGTTCTTTCACTGGGGAATTCACGGTTGGATTGTGTATGTGGTGGTTGGACTTCTACTTGGCTTCCTCAGTTACAGAAAAGGCCTTCCTATGACCATGCGATCCTGCTTCTATCCTCTGCTTGGTGACAGGATCTATGGATGGATGGGCGACTTCATCGACACCCTCTCGGTTGTGTGCACCATGTTTGGAGTGTGTACAAGCCTCGGTCTTGGGGCGATCCAACTCAATGCTGGTTTTCAGCGACTGAACAGGGACATCGCGTTCAGCACCACAAACCAGATTATCACCATCTGGGGCGTGACGGCCTGTGCAACCCTCTCAGTAATCAGTGGCTTGAAACTTGGAATCAGGCGCCTAAGTGAACTGTGCTTTGGAATTGGCATGATACTGATGTTGATTGTCCTGTTCTTTGATGACACCTGGTATCTGCTAAATTTGTACGTTCAAAGTATCGGCTACTACCTCCAGTATGTCGTTCAGATTGGATTCCACACCGATGCTTTTGCACAACTCCACAACGCTCCTGATAAACTGGAGGCTTCCGAGTGGATGAACGACTGGACCATCTTCTACTGGGGTTGGTGGATTGCCTGGTGCCCTTTTGTGGGTATGTTCATCGCTAAGATTTCACGAGGCCGAACGATCAAAGAATTCATCAACGCCACCCTGACGGCACCAATATTTTACACCTTTCTTTGGCTTACTATATTTGGTGGATCCGGATTACGAATGGAAAGAAGCGCAGCCTTGGCAAACATAACATGTTCATCACCCCTGGGAGGTAAAAAGGCTACACAGAGCTTTCATGGTTTGTACCGTCTGTCCTGTCGCACGAAGAATGATATGTGGTTCGACGTGATGGATCAATATGGAGATCTTGGACAATTCCTGTCAGTCACGTCCCTGGTCGGCATAATTCTTTACTTTGTCACCAGTTCAGACAGTGGCTCATTGGTCATCGACTGCCTGTCTGCAAACGGAGATCCTGACCCTCCGGTACCACAGCGCGTGTTCTGGGCCTTGACGGAAGGTGCCACCGCGACAGCTTTACTTTACGCTGGAGGTACAGATGCGCTGCAGGCCTTGCAGGCCGTATCCATTGCTGCTGGACTTCCGTACACCATTTTGCTGTGTTTTATGTGTGTGGCGCTGTGGAGAGCTGTTCAGATGGAAGCTNTAGATCTGGCATGAAATCTTTAATATTGTTCCATAGCCGAAAGTACTTGACGAACTGTCTTTGTCATCACTAACGTCTCTGTAGCTTTTATATGAGTGTCCGTTTTAGAGTGGTGTCTTCTTGAGTAAATTAAGAGACAGGTTAAGAGACAGGTTTTTAATTTTTTAACTCAAGTGTTTTATAAATTTCATATTTTTAGTTCTATGAATTAGTATTAATCTTTGAGGTCCTTTTCGAAAACCACATGTACGTGAAAAAGTTTCCTGAACAAAGATTATTATTATATTATTAAATAAGCCTGAGCCACGCCCAAATTGGTTTCCTTCAGTTGCTCAATTCAAATTCACTGCCAAGTTGGTCCTTGTCATTGCTTTTTACAGCGTGACTAGCTGTAGACACGTTACGACCATAGGCACCTTTTTAAAGCCTTCTTTGCTTTTGCTCCTCAGGTACCTGGCCGTGAAGAATTACGTCAATATCTCCTTCCCAAGGTCTTGCAGTGTGATTCGATCGGTGATATGCGATCCCTACGTGGTCAGCCAGCGGCAAGGCATTCTAGTCATGCGCATCACCTCACTGCTGACGACAGCATTTTGAATACTAGTATCGGCAGTTTGTCCGAGAGTGGTTATGAAGGAGACATGGAGGATGAAGGCGACTTGAATGTTGATGAGGAACTCTGTAGCGAACTAGCTGATGACCAGCATGGCGTGTTAAACAAGCAATCTAGAGACTCTTCCTTCCTGAACTGGGAGGAATTTTCAAGGACGAGTTCCACACCGAGCATTCTCCACCCAGCTGGTACTCACAGCGGGTTTGATTTAGAAGTGCAAGACATGGACACGGATTCGGAACCCGTGCCAATGGACAATGGCATTCACAGCGCCAGCGAGCTTTGTGTGCCAGTTGTTATGGAAGCTGATGATAATATGGAGTTAGGAGAGGGCTGTGCTAAGCCATTAGATTCAAGCTTGCGTAGTAGGCAACCTCTAAGACCTATTGAAAACAATAACAATCTCTCCTTCAGAGACCCCATTTCTTTGAAGTCTCAGCGGAGGATTTCAGCGTGGAGTAGAACAGTCACCCATTGAACTTTCAGAAGTCTCAGCTAGCTCTCTTTTTCCTTGTAACAAAGTTGTTCTTTCATGGCAGAACTTAGCAAACTTTACAGTTGTTTCTTGTCTTAGGCTTAGTTTCAAGCGTTGCAAAATGTTCTAGACACCAGAATAAGAACGCATTTAGGAACCTTAATATATCGATTATCTGTGTTTTATCGTGACGCTTTTCAGCTTAATGTCATTGATTCTAAAATGATACTTTTGTGAATAATTCGCGACAATGAAAGATATTCTGTATATATTCAACCGGAAAGCATACTATACATACATAGGTATATTTTACGTCTTATTTTTTCTTGGCTTTGTAATCTGGTAAAACCACCATCTTTGATTAGAAAGCTGAGAAGAATTATGGCGAGGTTAAATGTGCCATTGCCCATATTTATACAGAGCAAAAATGAAGAAAGTTTGCGTGGTATATTCTTAAATACAAATTGTTGTTTAGTGAAAAAGCCTTCTTTGGAAGTTGGAAGGCGAACATATAACCATATGCTTTAAATTGAACGCATTCGAAGCGTTGAAGCTAAAATAAAATTCCTGGAAGTTATTTGAAAGACTGATTTTCTGGTTTCTTAGCGCTACATAGTGTAAACGGTAGCGTCGCCCAGAGTTGTTTCGCTATTCTCGTATGGTTGAAAGTTTAATAAATGTTTTACAAGAGATTGTAAGTAAGCCTACCGTACTGGAGAGTAAAACATTGACTATCTCTAGTTCTTCAAGCTTGAGTAAAGAGTGATTGTTTTTCCATCTGACCTACTAACGCTAGCAAACAACTCGTAGGGGAAAGGACCATAATCCCTAAATAGATCCGTGTAGTGTTTCCAAGTACCTATTCATGCGGTAAAAAGGTCTCTCGGGCTGGGGAACCACTCAACACACCAAGCCACTCCGGACGTGATTTTCAATTATAAGAAGCACCAAAATGAATGATTTAAAGAGAAATCACAAAGTTAGCTTGGGAGCCAGGATAACCCGCAAAGTGGGCTTGTGAGCCAACCTCGTGGAGCCACCAGGGTGACCCTAAGTGGAGGGTCGTGGAGCCACCAGGGTGACCCTGAGTGGAGGGAGGGCTACTGGCCTTGAAGTTAGGGTGACACATTTCGACAATTTTCATATTTTAGTGACGCCTACATTGGAAACGAGATATCTAAAGGGCAAGCAAGAGCCTAGAACGTTTCCCTATGCTTGTAATTTACGGTCAAAGATGGCCCGGGATGAGAAGGAGGGTTATAACCTCGTTCATCTTGTTTCTTTTTACCAGTTACCTGAGCCATTTGTGATCACCATGGGCTGGCTTTCACGAGCGCATAATCATACGCAGAGGTAGTAAGATATTGATAATTAGTGCCTTTTGTGTTAGAAATTTCTAAACCAAGGGAACTTATTGCACCTTAACAGCAGCTTACTGCGTCTGCAAATGTTGCTTATGCTCGTGCGCTACCAAAAACCAGCTTCAGTTAAGTTTCAAGCAGTTATAGTCCATTGTCTTAAGCAATTACAGTCCCTCACGAGGGATTATGGAGGAATAATGAATTCCCTTGGGTTCCAAATTTGGGACTCGCCAACACCCGAAGATCTTATGATAGCCCTCTGACTAGCTTTGCCATTGTCAGAGGTGTAATGAGAAGCGAGCGCACGGTGGTAGCATATGAAGCATTTAAATGAAATGCACAATAATTGGCAGATCGAAATAGTCACGCTCATTACTGTATATAAGTCAAACTGTGCATTTCTTAGTTCAAACCTGACAGAACAACCACAGAATGAACGCTCAAGAAAACGCATCGAAGAAATGTCGATGGCTTCGTTTCAAGATTCCCTGCTGCTGCAACTTTGCACTCAACATTCGGCTCAACCCAGTTGTATCTCTTCTTTCCGCCCTCATCATCTGGGGGTTTGTCGTGTGGAGTATCTTGAAAGCTAAAGCGGCAAACGAAGAGATGGCCAAGTGGAGAGGATGGATCACTTTAAAATTCACTTGGCTATACATCGGCACTCAGGACGTGTGGGCCCTGTTCATTATTGTGCTGTATTTGTCCAAGTATTCCAAGTTGAAGCTGGGCAAACCGCACGAAAAACCCGAATTTAACGACGCTACATATTTCACCATGCTGTTTGCTGCTGGCATCGGGATTGGCCTGTTCTATTTTGGAGTAGGTGAGTGATCTTTTTTGTAAAGTTGTTGGTTTCGAAGGATCATACCATTAACATTTATTTGTGCTCAGAAATGCACATGTAGAAAACCTTGCGGAATGAGAGTTGTGCATCAGATGCAGGTCAACTCATTCGTTCCATCCGGCTTCGCTAAATTGCTGAGTAAGTTATCGTGTTATCAAAAGCGTTCGTTAAAACTTTTGATAAAGTTTGGTTCTTCCTTTTCTTTTTAAGCGGAACCCATCTGGCATTACGAACCTGGACATTATGGGAATCGTTACTTTGGAAGGTATGTGCACTGTCGGTATTACTGTTTCATTATGCTTCAGTATTCATTGATTTGAATTTTTTACTTGGTTTTTCATCAAATACGTTCAATAAGTGGTTAGACTGTCAGTTGCTAGTAAATGAAATATTTAGTGATCAACGGACTTGCCAGGCATTAATCCTCAAATGTATGATGCTATAACCAAACAAACCTTATCGCTCTCACTGGCACTTTAAATTTCCGAGTTACCTTTCATCATTTGTTTGGAAATATATTTCTGGTGCAAAGTTTTCATCTAATGCCTTTGGTGACTTACACCTGTTCGTTCAATTTTTCAACAAGCCCCATTTTTAAAACAAAAGCTAAGAGGGCAACTTCGTCTAGAAAGTCTTTTTGTCTATCAAAGAATTCGACAATCTTCTACATTACTTTGTGCCCAGATTTTCTCCAAATCGAATGAATATGGACAGCTGGCCGATGAAAAACTGAAAAATTCGAGAAAAATAGTGTTCACAGATTAATATACAAAACACTGACAACATCTGAAACCTTAGCTTGAACTGAGCTTCACAGACATATTAAGTTTTCCCGCTGTACTAACTTCCACTTTTCGAATAACAGGTATTCCGACAACCAACGAGCCCAAGATGCCATGAACATCACGTTCTTTCACTGGGGAATTCACGGTTGGATTGTGTATGTGGTGGTTGGACTTCTACTTGGCTTCCTCAGTTACAGAAAAGGCCTTCCTATGACCATGCGATCCTGCTTCTATCCTCTGCTTGGTGACAGGATCTATGGATGGATGGGCGACTTCATCGACACCCTCTCGGTTGTGTGCACCATGTTTGGAGTGTGTACAAGCCTCGGTCTTGGGGCGATCCAACTCAATGCTGGTTTTCAGCGACTGAACAGGGACATCGCGTTCAGCACCACAAACCAGATTATCACCATCTGGGGCGTGACGGCCTGTGCAACCCTCTCAGTAATCAGTGGCTTGAAACTTGGAATCAGGCGCCTAAGTGAACTGTGCTTTGGAATTGGCATGATACTGATGTTGATTGTCCTGTTCTTTGATGACACCTGGTATCTGCTAAATTTGTACGTTCAAAGTATCGGCTACTACCTCCAGTATGTCGTTCAGATTGGATTCCACACCGATGCTTTTGCACAACTCCACAACGCTCCTGATAAACTGGAGGCTTCCGAGTGGATGAACGACTGGACCATCTTCTACTGGGGTTGGTGGATTGCCTGGTGCCCTTTTGTGGGTATGTTCATCGCTAAGATTTCACGAGGCCGAACGATCAAAGAATTCATCAACGCCACCCTGACGGCACCAATATTTTACACCTTTCTTTGGCTTACTATATTTGGTGGATCCGGATTACGAATGGAAAGAAGCGCAGCCTTGGCAAACATAACATGTTCATCACCCCTGGGAGGTAAAAAGGCTACACAGAGCTTTCATGGTTTGTACCGTCTGTCCTGTCGCACGAAGAATGATATGTGGTTCGACGTGATGGATCAATATGGAGATCTTGGACAATTCCTGTCAGTCACGTCCCTGGTCGGCATAATTCTTTACTTTGTCACCAGTTCAGACAGTGGCTCATTGGTCATCGACTGCCTGTCTGCAAACGGAGATCCTGACCCTCCGGTACCACAGCGCGTGTTCTGGGCCTTGACGGAAGGTGCCACCGCGACAGCTTTACTTTACGCTGGAGGTACAGATGCGCTGCAGGCCTTGCAGGCCGTATCCATTGCTGCTGGACTTCCGTACACCATTTTGCTGTGTTTTATGTGTGTGGCGCTGTGGAGAGCTGTTCAGATGGAAGCTGGTGATTTGGATCCCAATGGACCGCAGTTTAGCATCTCCTTGTTTAATCCAATCAGTCGACCGTCATGCAGTGCTGTTTTCAAGCTGTTACTTGCTACAGTTGCTCCTTGGTATGTGATTGGTATTGCCGCAGAACGAAGGAAGCCCAGCTCCCCAAGAGGAATGGCCTGTTACATGATTCTTATGGGAGTTCCATTTTATGCCTGGATTGCCATGATGGTGGCGGAGTTACTGCCGGTGCATGGAATCTCGTATGTCGGATGGGCCGTCCTATTCTTGTTTTTCGCTGTTGCAACAGCCATCCGAACTGGCATAAGAGAAGAAGATGGAATACATGGAAGCATGGTGGAGGATTTCTTTGTGGTCATGCTCTTGTACCCTTTTGCTGCTTATCAGATGGACCAACACGCGCTGAATCACCGACCGAGGAAGAGTGGCGATACTGAACTTGGCCACAGCAACGAGAATCCTGCTCACAAAGATACCAGTCGTAATAGATCAGAAATGACTAAGTTATAAGAGGGACAGATTTTGGCCAAACCCTCTCTCAACAAATGATACGTTAAACATTGTTTATGATATTCTCCATTGACATTGTCTTTACATGTTCGGTGGTGTGTTAGCAATCAGTCAGTGGCCTTGACATACTCAAGCCTTCGTTTTCCAAAGCTTGCAGACTAAGATTACAAAATGACTAAGATTGTCGATTGAACGCTATTTGCCAGAAACTGATTTAAAGCGTTGTCAATTGTTCTGAAATAAGCTGGAGTAAAATTTGTTATCTACCTAAAACCAGTATCACTTGCCAAAATAGTATTTGCCCTTTACCATTCAAACTGTAGTAATGCTCATGAAGCACTTGGAAACTATGCGTTAAACGTTTAGAAGTAAAGTCCGTTGTTGTGTGATCTGTTGTTTACGGTTGTCATTTGGAGAGCACCTGGCGTGTACGAAGAGTGGTCAGTCTGAGATCACGACAGAGCGGGGGAATGGTTAGATGTTTTACACGTTTCATCAACTGCGTACGGAGGTTCATTTTGGCATGCCATGAAAATTTCATATCTTGAGACAACTTAGAAAGTTCTCATGGCCAACTCCTTTAACGTAAATGACTATGGGAGGAGAATGTCCTGTTCTCCCTTCTAGGATCGATCGGTATACACAATACAGCCATGGTTTTAAAGTTTATAAGCAACACGTACTGATTCTTGTATCATCTCTAAAGAAAGAAAACAACTCGTAAAATCCTGTGACGTTCACTTGTTACCTGATTCCGAAATGAAACGCCAGTCGATAATGCTGTCCTCTTCGATCCTACCTCTCCACTCTCATGGGGTTCCATGTAACTATAGCAACTGGAATGACAATGACTCCCCCTTCCCGGGCACTTAAGTGACAATGAGTATCACACAAATAGTAGGATCAGAACAGGATTCAGTCAGATCTCGATACTTCTGCGCTTTATAAACAAAATATCAAATTCTCACAAGCTAGAACACTGAATGTAATGTACAATACGAGCCGGTGCAAACGTTTTGGTTGACATGAGTGTGTTGGAATTGTCCAACAGTGAATGGAAGTGTTCAATTTTACGATCACAAGTATTCTGGGATAATTTCTCAGAGGTTTCGAGACAAGTCTTGAAAAATGTCAAAACTGCAACGACCATATCCAGATTACGCGCGGCTTGCAAGTCGGCGAACGTCTTGTCCTCTTGTCAGAATTTCAGTGTATCCTGTTAAGTTGCTGTTTCGTTATCTACACGCTTCCGTTCACCCCAGGTGGCATATAAGTGACGTTTATACCACTCGATTTGGGCCACTCCCCTTTTTGCTGCCACTTTTCTTGAAATATTTGTTTGACGGAGGCAGAAATACGGAAGCTTATAAGTGTCATTCGACATGCGATATAGAATATCTGACATTCGAGATGCTACATTCGACAAGACGCCCTAGAAACAACTGGATGGGAGCCACTATCAAATCAATATAAAAAGAAACTACTCACCCTAATGTACAAAGTAAATTGTAACATTACCCCAGATAAAATAACAAACCTCCTTAGTATTGCTAACCCATACTATAATCTTAGAAATAGTAATCACTTTGTACTACCTAGATTCAACTTGGACATTGGTAGAAATTCCTTAAGATATAGAGGCCCAATAGCATGGGAACTAACTCCAACCGCTCTCAAACAGTCCACCTCCTTAAAGAACTTCAAGAACCTTTTAAAACAGCGTCGCCATAAATTTTTCATCAAAAACATTAGCTTTCTGAAAGAAGCATGCGTGGTCTCACATAAGAATCAAGATTATACATATTTTTAATTTAGTAATTTTCACTACAATTTTAAATTGATAATTGTATTTAGATCGTTAGCGTAATTTTTATATAATATTACTTGTAGATTAAATATAGGTCCACATCAGCCTCTGGTTGCCTTTAATTTAACCTATTTCAAATAAAGTATGTAAGTATATATGTATGTATGACATCCGATGACTGACATTTTGGGACACCACCTCCAAACATCTAGAAAATAGACATCACCACAAAGCGCCCCTTAGGACCAGTTAGGGGAAATCCAGATAAAGTCAGCTCTTATGCAATATGAGCTAATATGATAAAGTGGGAAGTACCAGTGGCTTTTAGGCACTGATGGATTTGATGGATTTTCCAACTCTCACTAACTCACTCACTGCCCATTGTGCCCACTGGCACGTAGGGCAGCAATCTTGGTGCCTAGGACTTTCATAATCCTGTCAGTGGCTTCCTTGCGGATTTCACCTCTGCCATTCATCCGTGTCATTTGAGGTGACTCTGAAAGGCCACGACACACAGTTGTGGTTGTATCCTCTGCTGCTGTTTCCGTAACATAATGTTTTTTTACAGGACAGGGTTGCTGGCTCTGTGCTAAACCCCCAACCTGGAGGGCCAGGGGATCACTTTTTGTCAGGCCCCTACCCTTTGACCAGTCCGGCGTGGGTGACCCTACCAGGAGTTCAAGACTCCAGCCGGCATAGCTCTCCGGGTTATTGGGACACCCAAACCACCCTACCACGATAAGGTAGTGATCCCATAAGGGTGGATTTTTTCCAACAACATGATCAATAAAACTTCTTACTAACTGAGCGTGAGGTCTGTACTGGGAATTACTGACCCGAGGTCATGACAGTATGGGCCAAGTGCAGCACCAGGTCCATACAAATGTGACTGAAGGCCAATATTTTCCACTACAGCTCAAGCAAACTAGGTTAGTAAGCGCTGCAAGTTTTTTTAATTGGCCGGCGTTTGGAAGCAAAAAATACACAGTTTATGACCGTTTCCATTCCAGGAGAGGTACTCCCTTACATGGGCTATATAAGTATGTGCAGTCCTAAAGGGTATGGTTTTTCAGCCAATTTGGTCATAAATAGGGTATCGACTTTGGCCATTTTGGTCATAAATAGGGTATGGTTTTTGTACTCTAGTCTTGAATTGGGTATGCCTTTTATGAGAAGCTTCCTTTTCATCATTATCAATGGGACCATCATGAGAAAAAGCCCTTCATAAATTATTTTTAGGGCAACTGTGGCAGCTGCAGTGGTCATAGGGTATTGAATTTTTGGTCAGCCCATAAATAGGGTAGGGAAAATTGCAGATTTTGGTCATAAATAAGGCATGGGTTTGCACACCCCCACCCAATTTTGCTGGGAGTACCCGCCCCCCAGGGTTTCCATGAAAACAGTCCATATGGCAAAATTCCAGCCAAGAAAGAACCAACCAGAACACTTGGATTTACTTCCAAGACTACCTTGCCACGTGACAATAACAACAATCTCCTCAAAATTTTAAATCCAAATTCAGGCATGCAGGCAATATGAGGTGGGATTTGTGTGAACACATACATAATTTATAGAATGATTCTTCAAACTTGGGTTAAAAAAAAATGTTTTAAGGCGCATCCAAAGAATACATAATTGCCTGTTGCTGTTGGGGAAAAATACTTATTTTAACTCACTAATTGACGTGAAAATTATGCAGTTTGCAATTATGGAAACTCAGCTAAGTATTTAGAAGTGACTGGAGTTAGGTCTAGAGACTTTCACATCGTAAATCAGACATAAAGAACTCTTGAATGCATTTTAAATGCCAGATTTAATACTTTTTTAACTAACAAGCTTGCATGTTGTTATTATAAATATGAAGGAAATATCTGTTCCAGTACGTAGCCATACAATAATAATAATAAAAAGATAATAAAATAAAAAAAATGTTGCTAAAATTTAGGGCTGTGGATGCAAGGAAACACTTTGTAACCTGCTATACAGATACCACAACCATTGTGCAAATTATACAAACTTTTTAAAAAATGCAATCAAATATTTGTCTTTGTTACTAATAAAGTAACTTCAATTTAAACAAAAATTCAACTTTCATTAGTAGAAGGTTGTGTCTCATCAGATTTGTTCAATTCTGTGGTTTGTTCATCTTTGGCATTGTTTTCTGCTGTGAACTGGGTGGTCTTTATGTCTACTGATTCATCTTCTCTGTAGGCATACTCAACAGGTTTGCTGTTTTTTCTATTTTGTTTGCCTACATCAGACACAACTTTCCATATAAAACTTCCATGTCTGCGTCCCCTTATCGGATGGCTGGGGTCCAATCTTGAATTAAACTGATGTTCGTAAGAGATTTTCTCTACAACCTTTGGCATTTTACATCCAGTCTTGAGAACAGCTTGAGAAATGATCCCATTTGTTGTTGGAGTTCCTTGCATGGCTAGACTACCACTGTGCATCATTGATCGCTCATGAGGGAAGGGTGGAGGTCGATAATCATATCGTGCAGTTGAATCAAAGCTATGTTGAGGCACCTTGGTTGATTTTTCAGGCAGTTCATCTGGCCACCATGATGGATGCGTTTCTTGGGTATCAACAGTTGTTTTGACATAACAGATTGGCTCACAGATAAATCTTGGATTCTGGCGCAGAAATGTCACATTAGTTGGGTGGGGTTTGTTATTTGGTCCAGCTGTCACACTCTGTTGGGTAGATAACTGTAATGCACGCCCTGTGTAATGTGCATTGTAACTTGTTTTACCAGGGGAATTATCTCCTTGCAGATCAGCAAAAACCCTGGAGGTGTCCTGACTGGAAATAAAATAAAATATAATTCCATTTCGATGGATATGGATGGCATTATTATCATATCATTAATGACAAAATGAGATCAAGCTTAAATATACACCATTCCCAGACCAGTCCATTGCAGACAGTAGGAGGGGTGTGAACAGGAGTATTTCTATATCCATAAATGTATGGAGGTAGAGCGAGGTTTCGAGGTTTTCAAGCATTTCATTGCTGGGACATGCTCTATTTATTTATTTTTTTAAATATCATCTCTACATACAACTCTTATTCGTGTAAAGTGTTTACTTGGTCATGAAAATTCATCGCGACTGGGTGTCTAATTAAGTCTAACTAATTAAGATTGCTATTGAAAGAAAAGGTATCAGGTTTCAACTTCTTACTAAGAAGCGAAATATTGACTTTGTTGTCGTTTACAATTTTGAATAGACTGACTTTGAGACGTTTGCCCCTTTTAATACAACAGGTACACAGAATGCCTTGAAAGTTGAAACTATGTAAACTGAGTGAATCGAGACAACGCGCGCTCGCGCGCAAATCGTATCTGATACATTTTCCCGTCAAAATTATTGGTATCTACACATTTTGCCCTTGTTTTTTCTTCCTCTTGCGGAAACGCAAGGCTCACAACGAAAATCACCTTTAATCTATGATGAATGGCTGATTACCTGACCACAAACAAGTCTGTTTATCTTATCAATCCATGAAGATTTCATCATGATTAAATTAAATATTTAGAAGCAGCGAGAGTCAGAACCTACCGTGGGTAGCCGTCTACCTTCTTTTTGCGGGCGATCGGAGGCAAATAAATACTCGCCATCCTGAGACCTTCTTTTATCGACGATTTAGCCACTCAAGAGGATTCCATGAGTCATAAATTCATGATAAACTAGAGAGCGTTTGGCCCTAAAATGGAAGGTATTCTCGCTGCGGTTTTCGCTGCTGTTCACAAAGACGTCGTCGTGGTAACCAGCTGACTTCGCTAAACATACACCGCTGGCTCAGGGACAGCAAAGATGGTGGTTCTCCGAGCTCAAGTTATTCTTGCTGGTGAGAAACAAACTGTCATTCTTTGCATTGTACCGACATACATATGGTTTACTTTATCTTTGTGTGTTATTATTGAACTAGAAGCGTGTTGGTATTATGTTAAGTATAAAATTTGTTGCAGTTAACAAGAAAACTAGTCGCATTATGAAAACAACTTTTTGCCACATGCGTCCACAACTACACAGCTGAAATTCATTGTCAGTGTAAACTTTAACTTATAGATTAGCGGTCAATAATTTGAAACTGGCATGAAATATATGGTAATGTCATCTTATAGGTGATCCTTGTGTGGGGAAGAGTGCACTAACACAAGCATTTCACAGTGATGGAACACATTTTCCTAAAAATTATACCATGGTGAGCTACTCAGTTTGTCAGTTAAATAAGCTTACTTGCATGTACCTCTTACTAGCCTATTTTGAGGTCCTTACTGTAAGTTATGACCCAAGTTTTTCCTGCTTTGATTTATGGCCCAAGCATGCTGCGCAATTAGGCCACAAATTCAAGGGGGAAAACAAGAATCTGTAACTTACAGTACAGACTGCGAAGACGAGGTTAATAAGATATTTATTATTTAAGCAGTAGAGCACTTTTTCTGTGTTTACATAACTTCATCTAATCACGAGGAGGGTTGGGAGAATTCAACACAGTTATGCAAACCCAAGACACAGTCGAGGGTTTGCACAGAATTCTCCCAACCCCTCAAGTGTTTAGATGCGGCTATGTAGACAAAGAAAAAGTACTTTTATAAAATATTTCTCAATACTATGCATGTATCTAAAATGTCACAACCATGTTTACATACTCTTATCTAAACACACTTACTGACCATTGAGAGTGCACGTAGTATCTTAGTTATTTTATAAATTTCTATTGTGTATGTCTGATGGGTTGAGGAAACTATCTCAAGTCATGCAGCTTCAAATCACTGATGTACCTCAAAAGCAATATGAGTTACCACGTCATTAGCAGGTTTAAAAGACACCATCAAAATTTGAAGAAAATAAAGAGGTCTTTAATATAATGTTTGTAAGTAACTTATTAAGTAAGACTTGATTAATATTATCAGTGGTAAAATATTTGTTTCCCATCAGCATGAGGAAAACTTGGAGATAAATCAAAAACGGCTTCAAATTTAGTGGGTCACAGAGTAGAATAGGGGAAGCTTATTTGCCCAATCAGTGCACATGTAGTATCTTAGAGACAGAATAGCTACCAGTATTTTAGATACTACTACACAGTTATTGCTCTAAGGGTGTGAAACAGAGTGGATTAATGGTTAGTATGCCAGACTGTGATTTGAGCATTATTGAGCCACAAGAAATGTATTTGGCAGCATCCTCTGTAAACTCTGGAAAAATAAACTTAAGCTATTACTAACTTAAGATAGTCAAATCTGACCTCCCCTCTTATGCGTGTGATGTTAATTAATATTGTTTTTCACAATTTTTTTTTTTCAGACAGCTGGAGTAGAAGTCTGTGTAAAGTCTGTCAATATCCCAGAGACTTCTGACAGTGTGGTAAGCTTATTTAATGAGAAATCATTACAGAGTAAAAACTTTGTCAAGAAAAGTAGAGTGACTGATGTATCTATTTAGCATTTTGTGAGAAACATTTCTAATCAGTTGCATCATAAATACTCTCATAATATGAAAATTGCAGACTCTTAAGTGTGTGTTGTTGTTCATCTTTTCAGGAACTTTACATTTATGACTCAGCAGGAAAGGAAATGTTTGCTGACATAGTTCAACAGCATGTAAGTGCCACATGTACATACAAGGCCATAGCTACTAACCAGCAAATCAAGGCACTTGCCTGAGCAGTCCTTGCTGTTGCTGTTGTTGTTTATGGTCATCATAATCACCCTAAATACCTAGGAAGAAAATTTAACCATGCACATTGCCCGAGTCATATTTTTTTTGTGGCTATGGCCCTGACATAAGAATGTAATAAAGTATAGTAACTATTTTTTAGTCAGGATTTTAAAAGTGGCCGCGTCCAAAATGTGCTATAGGGCCTGCTCAAATGAACAATTTATAAGGCAACATATGAAAAATGAAACAATTTTCTTTAATAAGTGGCCATCCACAGGACACCTGGACGCCCATCTGGCTAGAAGCCTGCCTTGAAAACATATAGCTTCCCTGAACCCTGTTACTATTAATAGTTTATAATTTACCCAGTCAAGCAATTGATATCATATGATTGTTACTGCCTATAGTGGACACAGCCAAACATGTTTCTTGTGGCTTATGATGTGACCAATGAACAGTCGTTCAATGCCTGTAACAAGTGGTATGAGAGGTGCCGAGCACAAAAACCAAATCAAAGTTTACCCGGTAAGACTGAGACTGAAAATAAACTGAACTGAACTGACAGAAAAACGACAAAATTATTATAAATAAGGCTAGTGTAGTTTTTCCTTGACCACACAGTCATGCTTTGTAACCAGCTTCTCTGTTTTTTCAAGTCCAATTTTTCTCTGTTTTCTGAGATGACTAATTTAATACATATAACCATTAGACAGTTGTCAGAGTATGGTGTTAGACCTCATATCAAAGCATGAGAAAGAAATCCACTTGAGGCTGTGGTGGAAGCCAAAGAACTAACTTTTCAAAATAAGTAACTTCAAAAATATGCAAAATATTAACACTCGTTGGTTTATACGTTTGAAATGGATAACACTTTTATTGCATTCATTTCAAAGTCTTTTGTTGAAAAGTAGAAATTTATGACTGTGTTATCTGCATTTTCAGGAGCTCTGGTGGCCATTAAAACTGACCTCAAGCAGAGAAGAGTGATATCTACAAAACAAGGGCGTGAGCTTGCTAGCTCCAAGGGCCTGGAATACTTTGAGTGCTCTGCAGTAAGTCAGGTCTATTTAAGTCTCAACTAGTTTTTCCTGATCATGTGTACATCATGAAGCATTTTGAAGATGCAAAAGTTTTGATAATTCAACCATAATTACTAATTATCACTTTAAAATAATTTACTTTGTCACTTAAAAAAGATTGAATTTTTGGTACAATTCTTGCGTGCTACTAAAATGCCTGGACTAGAAACTATCAGATAAAGATGTCTCCAAACTCAAATTATCTCACAATTTCTTGAGCCAAAAGTCAGGCACAGATTCATACCGGTTTCCACCGTTTTATGGAAATCGATCAGATTTTTCAGAATTTCTCAGAAACCCCCAAAAGGGGACGTAAAGGATAAACAAATCCAGAAGATTTCATGAGAGAAAATGGCCCCGGACCCATCTAGAAGGTACTTATTGTTTTGGAAATCAGTCACCATTAATCCCAGATCTGTGCCTGAACAGTACTGTTTAACTCCCTGGGGGATCAACAGCTTGAACATTTGATAGTTTTGGTGACAATTTGTGAAACTGTCATAACTTATGCAAATGCCTGCTATGTCTACATGAAGCGGCATTTTCCTGAGGGTTCTATGTTGCCTTCTGTTCACAGAAAGATCACGAGAACGTGGAGGCACCATTTTACTACTTGGCAAAAGAATTCCACAATCTTTACAATGAGAAAGTTGAACAGATGAAGACATTGACATAGCAGTGTTATTTTTGTTTTGGTTCAAGTCAACTGTTTCCAATCTTATCTGGAGAGATGGCGTTTGAAGTACTTTAATTTATTTGGAGCCCAGCTCTATCATGTAGAACTCAAACTGATATTTTCGCTTTTGCCTTCCTTTGTTTCTGGTTGTAAGTACAGTCATGTAATCAATCTCAAAGCTTTCATAATCTCGTTAGTGTTTTGATGACTTAAGATAGACTCTTAAACCTTTGTGTAAAATTCTGATTAATGACAGTTCAAAGCTCTAAGTACTTAAACGTTAGAACCACTTTGTACAGCAAAATTAATAGTACCACATGAAGGTGCTGCTCAATAGCTTTCATTTGAATGGTCACACATTAGGGTTTCATCCACAGACTTAAAAGTTAGAACCAGCTTGTAAAGCATAATAAACAGTACCACATGAAAGTACCTTGCAATTAGTTATTTGAATGTTCACACTAAGGTTTATCTACAGCCCTAAAAAGTTAGAAACACCCTGTACAGCATAATAAACAGTACCACATGAAAATTCTGCTCAATAGCTTTCATTATATTTAAATGGTCACACTCAGGGTTTCATCCACAGATTTTAAAGTTAGAGCTACCTTGTACAGCAAAATCTACAATACCACATGAGAAAAAAAAGTATCGTTCATTTAAATGGTCACACACCAGGATTCCAGTCATAGACTCAAACGCTATAGAGAATCTCCTTTTACAGAATACAAAATAGTGCCTCGTGATAGTCCTACGACTCAATTTGAATTGTCACACAGCAGGGTATAAACAAGATATATAAGTATGGGTAATCAAATGGTGACGAGTGAAATTAGGAAATAATTTCACCTACGTTTTGTCGAATTTCTAATAATTTCATTAAGAGGGAAACTATTGTAATTTTGACAAAAAGTAAGTGAAATCATTTCTAATTTCACGAGTATATCAGTTGATATATCATAGGTGACAAATTACGCTTACAGTCCCTGACTCGTCTATGAAGCGAGAAATTTCGCTCCAAACGTTGCTATGGCGATTTTGTAATTTTACTTGTGAAGTTATAAATTAACGCTGAAATTTCGCACCAAAATTAAGGAGTAATTAGTCACCCATGATATTAAAAGATTACATGTAACAACGAAAGATTAAAAATTAAGATTAAAAAGATTAAAAACTTGAAAGATAAAAGTGCCTTTGATGATAGCCATCCCCGGGCTGACCCATTATTACCTGTAACTTTTTTAGCAAGCTGTATTGTTACCCTGAAAAATATTTACGTCATTGCCAAGGTGATTGCTTGTTTATTGCACGTTTGTTTTTTCGGTAAACATTGAATTAGAGTAATTGCGGACGATTATAAACAACTTTTGATAACGAATTTATCACAAGCAATAATCAAAAGGTGAGGTTGAAGTTTGAAATAGTTGCTCCAGTTTGCTTGTAAAGGTATACAGGAATAAAATGTTCTCCTTTTAGAATAAAGTTATGTTCTGGACGATGCGTTTGGTTAAATTGAAGAATAATCAGCTCTTTGCTAATGAAAAAACTAATTAGATTCTTGTAACTTAAAGTTAAAACAACTTTTACATGGCACTACAATGAAAGAAAAGGGAAAAACTAGAATAATCAAGCAATCGTGCTTTCAAAAATGAAGCTTCAGGCTGTCAGTAGTGTTCAAAATGTTTAGTTTGGCTATACATTACTGAATGACAACAATTAATTTTGGATTTGTCATTAACCTGATGAAAGAGGTGCTATTTGTTATGTACTCTTATCGTAAAGTTAATGGTTCTCGTTGAAAGAGACAGTAACTCTGAAAAGGAAAAAAAAGGGATGTTTTCTTCCAAACAAATATGGTTAGATACACCTACTGAATGGTCTGATTGCACGGAAAGTAACCTCATAATTTATTCACAACTAAAAGCAGCTTAAGCTTTCGTTCTCTATTGTTGTTACAATGATGAAGGTCCTTCTTGTTTTGCCCGAAAAGCAGCAATTAATTGTCGGCAGGTGATTTTGAACTGTTTTTAAGAAGTCTTTTTTATGTAGAACGCTTTGTGTTATTGGTACAAGCTACTTAAAGAGATTACTTATGATTTATTTGATATCAGACTGATTACCATATCAAAAGCATTTGTTGTTGGCAACGCAACGTGCTGCCTTGCAAGTCTTTGTCATATGGGTGCATAAATAAATCAAATTCACCAGCCAGTGAATAAGTGTACTTAAGCGAGAAAACGAAATATTTGTCCTCCTCTGGCAATCATGGGGTGCGGATCATCAAAATCTGTTGAAACTGCCGTCGTAGTCACGAATGTGGACCACAATAAACCCGTCGTTCGAGATACGAATGACAACGTTGATTCAAAACCGACTCCACTTGAAGACAAGCCGCGAATCATCGCTCATGAAGCCAACTTAACTGAAAGCAGCGAAAAGAAATTTTCTCTAGGCGACCGAGTACATGTTTCGGGATACACAGGTAGCGTCAAGTTTATCGGCAGTCTTGACAATTTTGGGGACGGTGAGTGGATAGGAATTGAGTTAGACCGTCGACATCCTCAAGGAAATGATGGAGTATTTCACGGTGTTCGGTATTTTACTTGCAAGGCCCAGCGAGGCATGTTTGCCCGAGCGTCCACTGTCTTTCCACACACAGACGTGGATGCCATCAACGAAGCGGCAAGTATTTCTCCTCGGACAATCGCTTTTATTCAGACTAGCATGCGCCGTTATCTTGCCAGGATTCGACTCGCGAGATTTCAGCAGCGGACGGGAATCGAGAAGCAGATTGACGCACACGTGTTGTCGACACCGGAGGAGAAAACCGAAAGCGTGGAGGTACTGAGCGAGTACTTGACGAGCCCCTGGCAAGGCGACAGGAATAAAGCTTATGCAATCTTCCGCTGGTTGAGCTTTAACGTAGCTTATGACGTCGATGGGTTTTTTGGAAGGGCGGAGAAAAAGAGCAACGATGCAGCCAGTGTATTGCGGCATAAAACATCGGTATGCGCTGGTTATGCGAGTCTGTTTGAAGCCCTCGGTAAAGTTGCCGGATTACAAGTGCATTCTATCGAGGGCTATGCCAAGGGTTATGGATTTGAACCAGGCCAGCGGATTAAAGACCAAAATCATGCGTGGAATGGCGTTCAAGTCAATGGAGAGTGGTTCATTAGCGAGCCCACTTGGGGAGCTGGTTACCTAGGAGCTGATTTGATGTTCCACCGGAGCCCGGACGTGGCCATGTTCCTTATGGACCCTGAGTACGCCATCTGCAGCCATTACCCTGCTGACGAACAATGGCAACTTCTCGACAAACCAATCAGCAAGGAGGAGTTTGAGAGGTTGGTTGTGCCTTCCGGAAGAATTCACCAGATGGGAATTGAAGTGCTCAGCCACAAGGAAAGCATCTACGATATTAGTGATGCAGATAATATAGAAATGATGTTCTACTCTCCTTCCCTCAAGATACTGCGAGGCGATCTGAAGAACCTTTCTTGCAAAGAACACGAAGGACGAAAGTGGACCCAGGTCCTTCCATCTGGGCTGAACCAAGTCAAATTAAAAGCACAGTTCCCAGCCCCCGGCAAATACAAGTTGAATTTGTACGTAAGGGACGAAGTCTCGGCTAATAAATGGCATCACGGAGTAGAGTACGTTATCCACACCAACAAGGGAGTGGCGGAAAAACGAGGGGGATTCCCACAGTTGGGAAGTGAGTTTTACGAAGCCGGGTTTCACCTGGATCACCCGCTCGAGAACATTGTATCACAAGATGGGACAGCCTGTATCTCTTTGCACAACTACAACTCCCAAATTTCCCGGATCAGCGGCCAGCTGGAACTAGAAGGGAAAAACAAAAGCCTTAAAAAGGAATTTCAAGGATTTTCTTTTTGTTACTCTGAGAAGACGAACAATGGCTTTCAGGTCAAGGTTCATTGCCCGTTAGCGGGAGAATACACTCTGAAAATTTTCGCAAAGCACTTTGATGAGGACCACTCAGATACATACGTTTGTACCTACTATATCAATGCACTCTATGGTGTAGGGCCTATTCCAGGCTTCCCGAGAATGTCCGACACGTTTGTCTCCTGGGGCCTGGAACTCAAGGAGCCTAGAGAGAACATCTATGTCCCGGATGGCCGAGCGTCTGTCCAGCTGAAAATCCCAGATGATGTATCTGTTGTTGGGTCTTTAGCGGAGGGGAACCACAATCTCGATAACAGTTTGTGTTTCGCTAAGGCCGCAGAGGACGGTGTAAGCACGATTCTTGTACACACGCCAGAAGCCGGCGTGTTTCAGCTGAACATTTTTGGTAAAAAGACCGGAAGTAAAGAAACCGAATACCTAGCAACATTCATGATCAAGTCAGAGTTGGCAGCTAGTCCAAACCCAGGCTTCCCGTACCTAAAGGACGAGTTCAAAGACTGGGGACTGGAATTGGTGGATCAGGTCGAGAACATTGTTTCACGTGATAGTCACGTGTCAGTCACGTTTAATAATCCCAACAATATTTCTATCAAGTCATGGCTGTTTGATGAGCATAACAAGCAGATTGGCAACTCTTGCCCGGTGGAAACCGCTGACCACAAGACCACGACGACGTGCCAGTTGCCAGATACTGGAAAGTTTAAACTGAATGTTTTTGGAACGAATTTATCAATAGACAGCACAAAACAAGTGTTTCTATGCACATACAAAGTGTTGTATACGAGTTAAGTGTGATTTATTGACACTAAACAGTTTGGAATTTACTTGATTGAAAGCAAGCAGAAGAGAGTGGATTTTCAAGGACGCTTGTTCCTATTTGACTGAGACTTTCCTCTGCGTGATAAATTGGTAAGATTCGTGGATTG